AGCGCGGGGCCGTCCCGCCGGGCCGCTGAGCCCAGCGCGGGGCCGTTCCCTCGGACCTGGCTTCCAGCAGTGCTCTGCATCGTTCCTGCTGCTGCTTAGGTTTCCGCTTCTTGCCCAGGTGGTGTGTTTTGTAAAGCCGCTTTGTTAAGCTTTGTTGACGCGCGAGCGGTAGGACAGCCCTATAGTGATTTACTTTCCAAACCCAAACAAAACCCACACGTACGTGCACGAGGTTTTCTTGTAAACTGTACCGTTCCCGTACGTGGAATATGTAAGTTGTGCCTTACATAGCAGACCTGAAAGGAGCATGGTGTGAGGGAGCTGGAGCTACGAGCATTCTAGAACAATACCATGGGTAACTTCTCGTGGTGTGGTTGTTCTTGATGTCAGGCTTTAAGGGTTTCAGTGTATATGAACTAGGTTTTGGCCTTGTATCGTTGGAGTTTCAGTATCTCTTCTAATCATCAAATCTTGGAGGGAAAATACATGTATAGTAGACTTGCTGTTGCACTACATCAAAGCTGTTGAGATGTGTGAAGTTTTGACATGTTCTTAACAGCCCAGCTCATACATTTCTGTTTAAAAAAATGCATATGGGATCAGCTGCAATACTTCATGCCTTTACTTGACTCCCTGTGAAATTCAGATAGTTTACTAGTTACAAATTTCACATTACTATAAAACAGCGGTTGTGGTTTTGTTTCTCCCCCCCGGGTTTGGTCCTCAGCTTGCAAAATACACAGATGAAAATTGAATTTTCACAGGAAATTGAGTCCCTTTTGCCCCTTTGAGGTGTACAAATTTTATTGCCTTTTGGGGTTGCTGCTGTTGAAATAACGACTCGATTTTTGTCAGCTATGTCTTTTCCCTCCAAAACTGATCACAGGGAATGAAGAATCCCAGTCATTTCCAGAAATCACAGCTTGAAGTTTGAAAGTAACACAGGTTCTTGGTAGCAGAGATTCAAATCTTACTCTTTTGCATGCAGTTTCTCGTCTCCAAAAACACGTGTACTAAGGATTAAGCTGAGCGTGTGCAGGTGAAATGTGCTACATAAAGTATTTTGGTGACCTGGTTTGCATAGCACTTGTTAAATTGGAGAGGATTCCTGGTCTCAAGTTGTGCACACTTCCCTGAGTTTATGGTATTGAGCAGTGGAACTGTTCTGCACAACAAAGCTAAACTGATCTATGTGCTCGGGAGTCACATGTTGTGAACTTTCTGCATTTCTGTCTCTGCTGATCTTATTATGGACACATGAGCAGAGGAATAGAAGTTTTAAAAAAAAATCAGCCTTTAGGGCTTTCATGTTGATCTGTCTTGTGCTTAGGCTTCTGGTTTTGTAGATGGAAACTTTGTCTGTTGTTTCCAAAATGTTCAAAGCATTTTTTTCAAAATGTATAATTGGTCTTTCTAATCAATGAGAATATGCTTTTTTTAAAAAAAGAAATAATTGCAGATGTCTTTGCTTCAACCCTAGAAATTTGCTCGTGATTTCACAAGCAAGTGCTAATTAAATCTATAAAACGTGTAGCTCATGCAGAAGCTAAAGACTAGAAATGACTTGTTTTTCCCCCAAGAAAATGTCAGTTCCTAGTTTCTGAGGCTCTTTGTGGTCTATAGGTGACTAATGTGACATTGCTTTGAATGTACTATTTGATTGAAATTATTTTTAATATTGGAGGAGGAGGGTAAGAGCTATAAAAGGATCTCTGCCTCCAAGTTGTTCACTGGCCTGTGTTGCTTTTGGCAGATGAGTTTTGCAAGAAGGATTGTTTCTTTAATTAATCCTCTATTTTCAGGAGACTGGCTGTGATCCCTAGACTAAGTGAAGTGTCATCTTGTTTCCCAGATTTAGGAGTTTATACCAGACTCTTATCTGCTCTCTCCTGGTTTGTACAGCCAGGTCTTGCAGATTCCATATTTGGAGGCCTGTCTCTTCCTGTGCACTACATTGAGCACCAAGGGGCTGTTTCATAATCCTTTAAGCAGGAAAGAGCTTAAAAGGCTAAAGAGAATCCATTGCTCTAATCCTAAAACTTAAGGAAGAACTCAGAATTTTACTAGAAATCTCATTGGGCAGGAGTTTTGCATTTGCAAATGGGACTGGATTGGAAGGAACTGATCTGACTGGAAAACCTGATACCCTGCTCTTTCTCTCTCCTCTTTCTCCAGCTCCCTCCACTTCCTGCATTGTTCCCTCCATTTCACTTCATTACACAGCTGCACAAGAATTACATTGTCAGACAGGATGGTGTGGAGGAATGATGATGCAGAGGGACCATGGAGCATGCTTGAACCAGATAATGTGTTGTTCACTTGAAATGTTTTAAATTTTACAAATGCTTGGCCCAGAGGAGTGTCCATGCATTTTCCACTTGCTAATCCTCTCCTAATCCCCTTGTAAACACAAGGACTGTGAAGTTCTTATCATAGGAGTGTTTCAAAATTGGGGAAAAAGTCATGGGAGAAATGTGGATGTATTTGAATTTATTCTTCCCTGAAAAGTGCTGAACTTTGAGTAGATAATATGTTTAGCTTCATGAAAGTCTACTTGCATGTGCCTTTGAGTGCAAGGCTGCCACTTACTTACTGTTTTGTTAACTGCACAGGTCTGACTATACTCAGTTAATCAAAATTGGTGATCTTACCCTCCGTTGTGGTTGTAAAGCTGAAATGCCTGTTTTGGCTAATTTTCCACCAGAAACTTTCCAAAAGTGTCAAAATGAGCTAAAAACTAAGCCTTGTGAACTGTGGGAAGTTTTGTAAAGATAGTGATGTAATTTAAGAGGGAGGATTCACAATCAATCACTTCTGCCAGTCCTGTAGGACATTGCCTTGTAATTGTTCTAACTCCAGTGGCTAATGCTCAGTCTTTAAAATAGATGTTTGTGTAAAACTGCTTGTTCAGTTTCTCTTTAACTAAGTAGACGCTGATGTGTATCTGTACACCTCATGAAGTAGCATCTGTTTAGTGTATCCCATTTGTGTAGCTTTATCAGTGGGTTATTTCAGTTCAGCAGTTCTTTTTTTAAAGTAACAATTCAGGCACCTTGAGCCTGTGTTAGCATGCTGAATCACCTCGTGATTGTAACCATATCCAGAGTGCTAAAGAATTCTGGATATTTCATCCAATTCTGATCCAAGTGTATAGTTTTATTCAAGTTGAGATTTGGGCTGCTTTAAAAGAGAAGCAGCAAATTTTCTTGTATTTTCATCTAAAGAAAATATTTTCAATGGAGAGCAGCTGCTATTGGTAAATTTTTCAAAGACCAAGGGCCAGAAATCTATTTTGTTGTTTCTAGTGGATAATACCTGGTAACTTAATTAGTCTTAGATCTGTGTCATGTCTTGATACAGCTGTTTCCTATGCATTTAGCAAGTTTTCAAATCCTAGTAGTGTTAAGCAATGAAACGAACAGAGTATTTGTTGTTCTTAGTTGAATTTTCATTTCTGTCTAAAAGCAGCTGGGCGCAAATCGTGAATAAAATTATTATGTGGTAGATGAAATGTAATTTGATTTACAGCCTATTGGAGTTGATTTTGATATACTGTTATTACATTGAGTGAAGCATATAGAGCTGTTCTGTAAGTTAGATTGTTTTCAGCTCTCACTTCTGTGGTGAATATCGTGTAACTTGGCCAAGTGTGATGTGGAGATTATGGAAGCACCAAAGCATGGGTGCTGTAGCTTATTGTTCGGCTGAGTCATTCTGGTTTGGTATTTGTAGTAATTTCACACTATGTCTTTCTGAATCTTGACAGAAGTGATGTGCTGGAACAGGTTGCCCAGAGAAGCTGTGTCTGCCTCATCCCTGAAGTGTTCAAGGCCAGGCTGGATGAGGTTCTGCGCAACCTGCTCTAGTGGAAGGTGTCCCTGCCCATGGCAAGGGGTTTGGAACTAGATGGTCTTTAAGGTCCCTTCCAACCCAAACCATTCTAGGATTCTATGACATGCAATGTAACTGAAGTACAAGATGTACTTTCTTTACTTACTGTTGTAAGATTATTTGTTTGTGCTAGATAAAACAATGTATTTTGGAATTACAGTGCTTACATGAATTCAGGTTTCCTAATTTGAAAAGCAGCGTTCGACATCCTGAGAGTTCTAGTAGCATAGGGGACATGCAGCTGTATATGTAGGAGGTATGACAGTCTAATGATCCAACACAAGACTAATAGTGCTTTTGTTTGGATTTTTTTATACTGTAGGGATAATGATGAGACAGCAAAAGAAGGGAAGGCACCTGTGAAAGAGAAGTATGTTGCAAAGCCGAAGGCAATCCCTTCTCTTGGAAACAAGAATAGATTCCACCCCTACTCAAAGGAGAAGAATGCAGGCACTGGAGACAAGAAGGCTATTAATCGTAATAGAGTTTTCATTAGCAACATCCCATATGACATGAAATGGCAAGCTATTAAAGATCTTATGAGAGAGAAAGGTAATTTATTCCTTGTAATACACTTCACATAGGAAGGGATAGGACTTCAATGCAATGTATGTGTCCTTTGAGCCACACAGATTTTTTTACTTTTTTTTTTTTCTTTTTTTTGGCCTTTACTTGGTACATCTATCTCCCTTCCCCCTCTTTCATCTGAGACAATTGCATTGCAGGGTAGGATGGGTAAACGAAGTGCTCACAACCTTCTGCCATTCTAGTGTGACAGTAGAGAGTATATGCATGACCTCACGACTTCTTAAAGAGATTGTGTTTCGTCTAGTTGTAGTTTTTGTAGATTTTTTTTTTCTCTTAAGGGCTATTGTATTTAAGCAACACATTTAGTGTGTTAACATGAATAATAAGGGATGTCTTTCAAAAGTTGTTTTGTATTTCTTTGGTGGAATCTGGCTGTGGCCTTAACTTTGTTTGCATTGTCACTACTGCCATGACTGTCTGGAGATTTGTATTAAAAGCTTGTTACTATTGTTGCAGTTCTGATAGAGCAATCTTACTACCCCAAAAATCTTATTGTAAGTTTGGGGTAAATTAATGATAACAATTTTGTAAAAAGTTAGTTCTGTGTTTTCCTTGAAAAATTGATTCTTCAAAAGTAATGCAAAGCACACTTGGCTTTTAGGCTGTGAAAAATACCAGAACCCCCTTCTGTAACTGCTGGTTTATCTGTTGTAAGGTGACGTGACTATTTGATTGGTTTATTTACTGAAACTTCCTGCTTTAGAAAGTGAGTGGCTTGCTGTGATCTATTTGATGTGTAAATTTGGTTATTATTGAAGGCAAACTTATGATTGAAGATATTCAGGTAGAAAGTCACCTTAAAACAGGTGTTGTGAGTAGGATGATAAATGTAACACTTTCCAGTGAATGTTGACGTTTCATTTGTTAGGTTAAGGGACTGTGTATATCTGAATTTGTTCACCAACTATATCATACTGGCCAAAATATGATCTGTAGTATGAATTAGGTTAAATATAGTTGTCTGTTTTTAGCTTTTGAGAATGTGGCTGCTGCATATTTCTGAAAATTAGCTAAATTATATAGCCATTGACAGGAGGTATGTTGGTCTGGTTTTGATTGTTGGTGAATAATAGGTGATTCTCTGTAGACTTGTGCACAGGGGCACAGTAAAGAAAGATACTGGTGTTTAAATGCATTGTCTCTTGGTATTTTCCCTTTGTATGTCTTATGTAGTTGGTGAGGTTACATACGTGGAGCTGTTTAAGGATGCTGAAGGAAAATCAAGGGTAAGTGCCGTGGGCAACAATCTGCTAGAGGTTTAAAAGTTCCTCAGCAGTTTTATTTTTGTATAATACCTGTACCAGTTATTGGAAAGTAAGTTTCATTTTTACACTGATTTTCATTAAGGTAGCCTTGAGGATTCTGTGTTAGAAGTAGTCTGGCACCTTCATGCAACTCACACTAGCTGGCTGTAAAGGACAAAGTACTTCTGTAAATGTTAACAATGGCATTTACTTAATTCTTCTTTTTAGCCAACACCTTTGTTTTGGTACAAATCTGTTTCATATAAAGGATGTTCAATAAACCACTAATTTTATTTATATTTTGTTAGTGTAGTATTCTCTTCTTGAGTATAAAATGTTAGCTGAGTATATACTGTGTGAAGTGCCTGATTTGACAGCTTTGCAGGGTTGGTACTCTAAACACTGGATTAATGTATTTGCTTTCTTAAAACTAAATGGATGGAGATGGTTGGTAGCCAGCAGAGTGCCTGCCATGAGGCATTAAGAGTGAAGATTGTTAAAACTCCTCTGTCTTGTTAAAAACAGTCAAAAGTTTGGCCAATAGCAGCTCTGAACCTGCCGTGAGAACATGAGAAATGCAGGTTTGAGTCTTAACTGAGGTTGTATCAATTGTTGTAAACCACTTGCTTTAATACTTGCTAAAACTAAAACGTGCTGTCAGCTTTGCTATACTTAAAGCAATCCTCCACTCTTTGCTTTATTAGAGGGATTCTGGTGCAGTCAATGAGGTTATTTTCTTACAAAGCAATTTCTCAATTATGCTGTAACACTGAAGAGGTATTGCAGGCTCCTTGTTCATTGTACTGGTATACTTGATGTAGGGAGATTCTGTAGCCAGTGGACAGCTTTTAATGACATGATGAGTGTCTTGATTTGGTTTTGGTTATGTTTTGGGGTTATTTTCTTTCCACCCTTTCCCTCCCACCTCCTCTCCCCAACTGTCCTTACATGGATCTGTGTGGCATTTTTCCAATTCTAGTCTGGCTCAAAGAGAGTGAGAGACAATGTGTTCTCTTGCATTTGAAAGGTATGTATGTGGAGAAAATAGGAGAAATTCAGATTGGCTACCACTATAGAGCACGTATTATGGATCTTGAAGCTGAAAATAACTGTTATAGTTATTTAACAGTGAGCTGGGATCTTTAACTGGAATCTTCATTGCTCTGTCATATGTGCTGACTGACTTCTTGTTTGTTTGCTTTTTTTTCTCTTTACATATGATGACAAATCCTCGTGGATGTAGGGTTATGGGTAAGTTTCTTTTTCTGTGTGTGTGGAAACACACTGCTATCCAAACAGTCTGTTAGTTTCGACATTTTAAACTTTATTTTAATACTCTCAATGTTTTGTTCTCTTTAAGTGTGGTTGAATTCAAAGATGAAGAATTTGTTAAGAAAGCATTAGACACTATGAACAAGTATGATCTTAGTGGAAGACCCCTGAATATTAAAGAGGTATGGTTATTGCTGCTGTTTTGAATTTGAAATAGTGAAGATGCTAAAGCTACCAAGATGACAATGCAGTGTTTTGAGACTCTTAGATGTTTAATTTCCAGTTTAATTTTTAATGAAATTTTCTTAATGGGTTGAGGTGCCTGTTGGCTTGCAGAGTGTCTTGATAGTGTATGCTAAATGAACTGACAAAAAGTGTGTCCTAAAGTCAAATAATCTAATACTACTTCTCTTTAAAACAAGTTGAGCTTCGTATTCTTGCCTTCATCAGGTCTTTTCCAACCTAAATAATTCTATGTTTACATTGCTTACCTGCTTCAAAACATGACACAAAATGAGCTAAGTATCAGACTTCTGCCTGTGTGCAAAGAATGGGGCTGGAAGTGGAGAAGTTGTGCTGTCTGGAAAGTGAAAAAATGTCAGCATTTCTGTTGTAGTGCTGTAGTATGACAGTGTCTGATGCAGTACTTTTTGCCCTATTACAACTTTAATAATGGTATTAATAAATAATACAAACCCACCACCTAATTAAATTAATTCAGTTCTTGGAAGAAGGTGCTGGACTGACAGTCCTTTAGCTTGAAATCTTTTCTACTTGTCCATAGGCTAGGTACAGCATGTGAAGTGGCAGTGCACGCTTCCTCAACAAGTGCTTTGCCCATATGCCTCAGCCCTCATCTGAAAGGACCCACCTCTAGAGGTGAGGGAATTAGGTCTCCATGGTAATTGAGTTCTTGATCCCTCTGACATGGACAAGGATATTCATTGATAATTTTGATGGGTTTATCTAGAATTTCAAATGGTACCTTTTTGTTTGTTGCTGGTCCTGTTGTGGATGATTAAGTGGCTTTATTTTTGCCCATGTTTCAGGATCCTGAAGGAGAACATGCTCGTAGGGCACTGCAGCGTGTAGGAGGACAGTTTCCAGGAGGACATGGACCTGATGCAGCACCAGGAATAATGAATTTACCACCTTCTATTCTCAATAATCCAAACATTCCTCCTGAGGTTATCAGTAACTTGCAGGCAGGCAGGCTTGGGTCCACTATTTTTGTTGCTAATGTAAGTTTAAACCCATATTTTATAACTCTAACATTTGGTCTTTGTAAGACATACCTGCATGGTTCAGTTTTAACATAAAGAGGAAATTGGAAATTAGTTCAGGATTAGTATTTTCAACTGCAAATGATGGATATGTATTCAGATTTCGGACATGGAAAGATAGGTTAAATTCTTGAGGCTGACATGGACTTTTAACTATTACACAGTCATCTGTTGATTAGAAAAAATGTTTCGTACATATCACTCTTGATAGTTGCATTTTTTATTAAATATGCACTAGTAATATATCTTGCTAGTTACTTTAGACTAACTTAACATTCCAACAGATGAACAGTGTTGCTATATCTGCAAAAGGTCTTGTGGGAGTAGAGCTGCTCTTCACCAGAGCCAAATCCATTTCTCAATGTTAGTGTGTTAATTAATGTAAAATAAGTGTATCTAGAATAAATTGTTGCCTTTAGTTGACATTTTTGGACTTTGCAATGTGTGTACATTACAAAATCCTGGCTATTTACATATAAACGTTTTGTGAAGCTGAAGAGTTAACAGCAATGCAGAAAATTGCTTCCAGCTGTAATGACAGAGATGTGCACTGACATCACTGATGTGTTTCTGTTTGTAAGCTTGACTTTAAAGTTGGCTGGAAGAAACTGAAGGAGGTGTTCAGCATTGCTGGAACTGTAAAACGTGCAGACATCAAGGAAGATAAAGATGGCAAGAGTCGAGGAATGGGAACAGTTACTTTTGAACAAGCAATTGAAGCTGTTCAAGCAATATGTATCCTTGGTTTTGAAAAATAATTGGGTTAGTCTTTAATGGCTTCTGACAGTGTAGTTTTGCAAATGGTGCTTATTTACCCTGTGGCTAGTAAATAGGGATTAGAGTGTAATACTGGGCAGATTCCATTTGTAATACTGGGTGAGTTTACTGCTAGAGTCTAAAAGTTCCTGATGATGTTGAACAAAATTCAAATATCTGGGAATGAGACAATTGTGAAACTAATTGTCGTGTATCTAACAGTTTGTATTGCCTCTGATCTTTGAACTGGCATTCTAAAGATGAGGTAAGGAAAGATAAGGCTCCTAATAATGGTTCAGAAATGAAATGAGTGATAACAGTGGTTCTTCATAAATAGTTAAATTGCCTTCTTTAATTAGATTCCTTGACTTGCATTTCTTCAGCAATGTTCAACGGGCAGTTCCTGTTTGATAGACCCATGCATGTGAAAATGGTAAATTGCTCACATTTCTTTGTACCTTACACGTCTCTGCCAAAACATTGAAAGGATCATAGCATAACATCCTTGTTTTTTATCAGGATGACAAATCAGTTCCTCATGAAGATTTCCGTGTTACGGACAGCAAAAGTTCACAATTACCTCGTGAGTACGCTCTCTCTTCTTTCCTCCTTGCACTTAGTATATGGTGGTTCATGTTTTGGCACAGTTTAGCAGTACTTTTGCTTACTATCATCTCTGAACATAGCTCTTCTGATGATACTTATTTTTTTGTTTCCAAGGTGGTCTTGGTGGCATTGGTATGGGACTTGGACCAGGTGGACAGCCCATCAGTGCTACACAGTTGAGCATGGGTGGTGGAATGGGGAGCATGGGTCCAGGAGGTAAATCCAAGTTCCTCATTTTGAAGTTGTACAGAGCTTTAAGCTTAAAATTGTAATTTCTGTGTTTGGAGGAATGACAGACTGTTGACAAAGCAAGCCTTGTGCAGTGTGCTTTTGAGATTTTAACTGTCTGAGTTACTGAAAATCTGTTATGACCTTACCTGTCTTCTAAATGTTGTTTGTCTTTTTGGTTTAAAGGTATGGGAATAGACGGCCCAGGCTTTGGTGGAATGAGTAGAATGGGAGGCGGTACGTGCAGTGAAGTTTTTTTGCATTAAGTGTTTGTTTAATACTGTATAGAAAACACTCGTCCTTATTTTACAGGACTTGCTGGATTTCGTGGAATGGAAGGAATGCCTAATATGGGAGGATTTGGAGTCAACAGAATGGGAGGTAGTTGAACACCGTTCCTGTGCACTTCTTAGTTTGCTAATATTTATTTATTAAAAGCTCTTCCTTGAGGGATGGGTAATAGGGATGGTTTCAGAGGAAACAGTTGCATGAGTTGGAGGCCTAGGAATTGGCATGAGAGTTAAGTATTTAATAGGTGCCTCTGACTTGTGTATTAAACTCACTTCTATTTAAACAAGCAGCTGTGAAACAAGTGGTGTAGGAGCATCAACTGTGGGCAGCTGTGAAACAAGTGGTGTAGGAGCGTCAACTGAGATGTAAATAACAGAATATTCCTGTTTTTTTGCTTTGTTCTCTACAGAAATGTTCCGTGGTGGAATGGGAGCAAACATGGAGAGAGAATTTGGTCGTGGTGAGATGGCACTGAACCGTGGTTTTGGAGAGTCTTTTGGAAGAATGGGTATGGTAACTATGAAATTTTCTGTGGCAAATTGTGACCTAGTAACAGAAGAGTTTTACTAGGAGACCTGGTTTCATTTGGTCTTCTTCTGTCCCCTCTTCCCCAGTCATTACTGTAAGGATGTAATCTGAGTGTTTATTACAGCCACTGCTTAGGAGAGAGGTTCAAGTGTGGAGGTTTCTTTCCATCTGTAGAATACAGATGGAATAACAATTTGAAGAAAGCATTTAGCTTCATACTGTTAACTTTGTGAGGTATTAGGTCTTTTGGGTGCTGAAGTATATGCTTCTGGTAATCCTGAACAAGCTGCCCATGTACAACTTTTGTGACTTCCAGGAGCCTGTATTGCAAATGTGAGGTGGAACATTGTTTTCACTGCAAATCAGGTAGCATTGGATTAGAGAGGTGAATTTTAGTGCCCTCAATTTTCTTCCTGCCTTCTGAGCTCATGCAGCTTGGAATGGTATTTATTGGCTTCTTCTGTAACTGAGCAAACTTTGTTTTGTTTATAGATGATGTCTTATTGACAGAGTTCATTTTGTTACTTTCGGGCTTCCTCAAATGAGTTACTCTTCTATCTTATGAGGCCTGGAAGTGCTTAACTGTAGAGCCACTTTGTTTTTGTCCTGTTACCTGGATGAATCATTTAGGTTGGAAAATACCTCTGAGTTCATCAAGTCCAACCATTAACCCAGCACTGCCAAGCCCTCTAAACCATGACCCCAGGTGCCACATATACATGGCTTTCAAATCCCTTCAAGGATGGTGACTCAAACACTTCGTGAGCAGTCTGTTCTAATGCTTCTTCAAGGATGGTGACTCAAACACTTCCTGAGCAGTCTGTTCTAATGCTTGACAACCCTTTCTACGAAGAAATTTTTCCGAATATCCAATCTAAATGTCCTCTGGTGCAACTTGAGGCTATTTCCTCTTGCCCTATTGCTTGTTACTTTGAAGAAGAGTTTGATTCCCACCTCTCTACAACCTCCTTTTAGGTAGTTGTGGAGAGCAATAAGCCTCCTTTTTTCCAGACTAAACTTCCCCAGCTCCCTTAGCTGCTCATCATAAGACTGGTGCTCCAGAACCTTTACCAGCTTTGTTGCCCTTTTCTGGATATGCTCCAGCACCTCCATGTGTTTCTTGTAATGTGGGACCCAAAACTGAACACAAAATGCATTATAGGGTCTTTCCTAAGCTTTTCTTCCTCTTCCCCGTTTCTCTCAGTTTCCACTCCCTTAATTCACCACGGTGAAAGAGAAGAACTGATAAGAGCATAAGGTTCCTCTGGTCTAAAAGTTCATGTATTTTTAATTTTTTTAATTTGGGCAAAGAGTAACTTGTGTTCTTCCCTTCAAGCACTGATAATTGTGTGGAAGTGATAAGAACATAATAAGCTTGTCCTTTGAGCTAGTCTTAATGCCTTGGAATTAACGTCTTAGAAACCAAGTGTGTGCTTTCACTCTGGCTACTTGCAACGTTGGATAAACATCTCTTTTCTGAGGCACAATGCAAAGCCACTTCAGTTACAGATGTTCATGCAAGCAGTAAGCTTCTGGGTCTTCTGGTAACACATGTTGATTTTGAAATGCATGAACATGGATGCTGTGAGAAACTGATGTGGGAGTCTTTCATTCACTAGATTCAGCAAGCTTCAACTTCAAACCTGTCAGCAATCTTACCATTTAAATAGCATTCTGAGAACCAACATTAGAGTTTCCCAGCTTATCCTTAACTAATGGAAGGAAATTGTAGGGCCTTATAAATACAATAGTTAATAGATACTGTGCTTAATCAGGGAAGGCCCTAATGTACTTCTGTTACAATGTTTAGGTTGATGGTATCTTAAGAGGAAATGCTGTGAGGGCGTTTGGCATTAGTAACCTGCCAGTTTCAATGAGGGTGCCTTTGACTGGGCTATGGCATCAGTTAGTGAAAATGAGGATGTTTGATTTGCAACAGAACTGTTGAATTTTTGTACTGTGAAATTCAAACAAGATGAAGCCTTGAGTTTGGAGGTTCTTCCCAATGTGGGAAATGGCTCATTTAGTTTTATGATGTTTGTGCTGCTGGCAGACTCTCAGAGGGGAGAAAAGCTGGAAAGAAACAGTAGCTTAAATTCCATAGTAGAAAATGAGGAACTAATGTTATTTGCTAGGTATTTCCTATTTAGTTTCTATAGAAAAGGCACAAGTTGAAGTGTTCTGTGGAAAAAACCTGCCAGGTATGACTGAGATCAGTGCACTTCAGTGTGTGCTTTGTTGTTGTCACTAACTGGTGGTTTCAGTGTATGTCACTTTATTATTTTTCTCTGTTTAGGTGGTGCAATGATTGGTGTTTTTGCAGGAGGAATGGGAGCACCTAGCATGGGCCCAGTAAGATCTGGAATGAGTAGGTTCACTTGTTTCAATAGAACCTAAATGCATAGGCAATGTAACGATATGGTGTCCATGTAATTGTGTCAGAGGATTTCCTTGTAGTGTAGTGTCTTGCCATTGAGGGAAGAAGTAGAATTCTGTTGCATGTGACTGCAAGTCTAATGGTTTTCAAAGCTCTTCAGAGGGAAAAAAGTTCAGAGGAAAACTTGCTAATACAGTCTTTCTGTTAATCTTAGTTTTGAAATGGCTTTAACTTCTAGTTTAGAGGGAGAAGTGATTAAAGTAAACTTGTGTTCCAGAAAAGAGACAGATAGGCACAGTTATTTGTGTAAACTTCATGAAGCTGAACCTCAGTAATCCGTCAGCATTGAAAGAAAAAATCAGCCTTGAATTTCAGATTATCACTCGGTTTAATTTTGTGCAAAGCTCCAATACTGAGTTAGTATTGCAGCAAATGTCTGAGTTTCTCAGGCTGGAGCAGATGAGAAACTCAAATCTTGCCTGGTGCCAATCTTGAGAGGCATAAGGCTTAAAGAGAAGGTCCCTCATGAATGATCTTGATAGTTTTGCTGTGCATTAATTTTTAATTATGAATCCAGAAATATTAGATATTTGGATGCCATTGCTCTCAGTTCTTTATATAATGTATGTGAATATATTTCACTGCATGTATCATAGAAAAGTCTGTGCTCTTTACAGTACTTGCAGTAACATCTGTTCTCTGCAAAATATGCCTTTTCTGGAAGATCTTGTCATTAACTGTGGGTATGGCAGCATTGAGTAAAGCTGAATGGGAATTCAGGAAGCCAAATAAACAATAGTGTATTTGGTCAAATTATCTGTATCATAGCATTGCCACAGTTATTTACCTGATCTTTTTGGTACAGGGGATCATATTTTTAGTAATTAAACAGGACAGCCTTTAAATTTGAATTCTTTACTTGGGTTCAACATTTTGCTACAGTAGATGGTGTGACTAACAGCTTAATGCAGTTTGGTTTTGTGGTGGGTTTTTTTTTTTTTAGAACTGACACTTTGTATCTTGTAGTACTTTTGTCTCTTATCTAGTAGCAGGGCTCATATTTTATTACTGTGCATGTATGAAAGTCGTGGTTACAGCAGTTTTAATAAAGTTGTTTTTCTCCTGACACAAGAATTTGATTTTACTTTCAGACAAAATGCTTGTGTGTTTGTAACTAAAAAAAATATGCTTATTTTATCTTCCATTTCTTTCTCTGTGTAGGTGGTGGAATGGGTGGTATGAACAGTATGGCTGGAGGAATGGGAATGGATCGGATGAGTTCTGGCTTTGATCGAATGGGACCAGCCATGGGTGGAGGTCTGGACAGGAACATCGATATCGATCGAGGATTTGTGCCTGGCCCAATGGGAAGTGCCATGAGAGAGAGATTAGGCTCTAAAGGCAACCAGATATTTGTGAGAAATGTAAGCATTGGAATATATGGAAACCACAAGCTTCTTTTGTGTATGTTTGATTACATACTCCTTTCTCTCTGTAATACTTTGTAATCAAAATTTTTTTTTATTCTAGCTTCCTTTTGACTTGACTTGGCAGAAGCTAAAGGAGAAATTCAGTCAGTGTGGTATGTATAGGAATCTTATCCCTGCTCAGCTCCATCAGCTTCATGTTTTGTGTGGTGTTTGTAGGATAAGGACAGGAGGACAAGGCAGTTGCCTTACTCTGAAGAACAGTCTGGCTAGCTTAACCTTTCTTGTGTTACCTAAATAATTTTAGGCGTGACAGAACACAAGACCAAGGTACAATATGGTTTGTGTAGGCTCTGAGCACTCAACCTGCTATAAACTGTAACCCATTCCATTGTTACATTACTCCTTAAGAGTTTTCTCTTTGGGCATATGCTCTGGCCAATAAGAGTATGTAATGTAGGGTTTCTTTTGAGATAAATGCGTGCAGGGGCCTGGGCCTGTCCAGTTCATGCATGGCTTGCAGAAATGGTGCTGCATCAAATCAGAGTTAGTAATCTCTTGAAGTGACACTTTGGTTTTTTATGCATATAGATGATCCCGATTAGCTTATTTGCAGGCTGTAATGTTCCCCTTTATCTTAAGAAATAAAGGCCTTTTGCGACAAGATAAAGGGTTACTACAGATAGTCAATAATCCTTTTTTTTTCCCCAGTTCAGAGAAGTCTTTACACAGACGTGTAAAGAAGAAATGAAAAATAAAGCTTGGATGTAGAAATACATTATGTGTTTTGAAAATGCACTTTGAGAACAGAAAGCTTTAAGTGAATTGCAGGATGGCTTTTCTTGTTTTGGAGAGACAGAAGAGACAAATAATTTAAAACATACTGCTGATGTTTAAGACACTTGTCATATAGCTGTTTGCAGATTTGATAGAACTTAGAACTTGCAGTTCAACTATGAAGAATGTTAAGATGTTGATTTTTTTTTTTTTCCATATAGCTACAGGATATAGGGCAAGAGGCTCTTTTTTTTTTTTTTTCTTAAGTCTTAACTACCTGGGCAACTTTCATAGAGCTAGAATTGTTTTTTTCATTATCTTTGTCAGCTAAAAGATGTAGTAATTACTTTCAACTGTGTTTAAGAATTATAGGCCAGTCTTATATTCAAAAATAAAAAGCCATGTATGTTAGGGAAAAGATTTTTGTTCCTAGTGGCATGCAGGGGCTCAGGAGGGGTGTGCTGTAACATGGCATAAAGCAAAAACTCATTAGCTCCAGGGAACAGAACATTCTCTGAGGTACCAGGACATCTTCATAAAAAGGTTGCCTTGTGAGTTGAGTGTCCAACCTCAAGAAAACTTGACAGGAATGGAATAGAGCATGCACTCCTAACCTGGTAACTTTACTGTTTCAAAGGCATTAATTTTCCTCTGCAGCTTCTTTACAAAATTGCTTGATTGTTGCTATTGCTTGATATGTTGTTGAGATGAACACAGTGGACTGGACTGAGCTACAGTTCAGTGAATGCCTGTCAACACTCACACTTCTGTCAGTGTCTGTAACTGAAACACAAACCTTTCCCTGAGCCTTACAAGGGCACTTTGTTTCACACGTGAGGTCAAACACAGGCAGAGTTGTATTGCCTTAGCCTGGTGTGAAGGAAAGGTTTGAAAGAGTGGATCTTAATTTGGATTCTCCACTGCTGTTTTGTCCCGTGTCCTTCCCTGAATGAGTGAATGTACCATCAGTCTGAAAGTGCCAATTTCCAATGTCCCCCTGGATTATACTTAAGATTCTTTGTCACTTCTAAGTTCTTTGTTAGTGCACTGAAGACTTGAAATAACTGCTGTCTAACTTATTTATTCAGGTCATGTAATGTTTGCAGAAATAAAAATGGAGAATGGAAAATCAAAGGGCTGTGGAACAGTCAGATTTGACTCACCAGAATCTGCTGAAAAGGCCTGTAGGATAATGAACGGCATCAAAATCAGTGGCAGAGAAATTGATGTCCGCTTGGATCGCAATGCATAATTTCAGACTGTGTGTTCAGGAACATTCCTATGTCTGTTTAGCTTCTCTATCCTAGTAAGTCATTTTTAGTAACATTGTATGCTTACAAAAGCTGTAAAAAGGAACTTTTAAATCCCACCAGCCTTTAACAGTATAGTGTTTAATATACTGTGATACTTGTTAACTGAATCTTACTATGTTTGGTTTTTAAAGACAATTTGCCTGATTTTTGTTGCTTTTTTAGAGGCACTGAGCACCTGCAGGTCCCTGTCGACCGTGGAGGCTTTGGATGCTCAGCGCCTTTGGAAAATTAGGCCAAGTGTCTCTAGTCATTCAGTTTAAATGAATGGTTATACTGTTTTTAATAAAATAAGCCATTTTCTCTGTTAATCTCAAGATTGCATAGTGGGATTTGTTTAGCATTTTCTGATTTTTATTTTTCCCCTTCAGTGTGTACCAACATTGTAATGTAAAAAGTAGATGTCTTTTTTTCAGAATTTTGGTTTTATATGTGCATTGTAGTCATACTGTAATTCTTGACTCTAACAGAAAGGGCTCCAATTAGGCTGTGATGTTTTTGTTCTACTTAATATTACTTTAATGACATGACTTAGTTCTGTATATAAGATTTAGAGCCCAATGGGAGTTTGGAGTTGGTTTTTTTTTTTATTATTTTATTTTATTTTGACTAAATGAAGAAACTGATCTTTTTCTCCTGCTTTTATTTTTTTCATCAGTATAATCACTGATTAAAACTAGTTACCACAGACCCTTGTAGGATTGTTTCCTATGATGCCAAGTTCATATAAAATTGATAATACAGTAAATACTAAGTACAGTACAAGACAAATTGTTCCCAATTTTTTATCTATTTTCCAGCCATTCAGGTGAACTGCCAGAAAAATAAAAACAACAGAACAGATAAGAGAAATGGCTGTGTATGTCAGACCACTGCTGTTCACTTCTATGGGTCCTGATGTATTTATGAAGGCAGTTTTTATAAACCAGGGTATTCCCAAGCAGAGCATGTCAAATACATTGGATCCTACAATGTTAGACATAGCCATGTCTCCATTTCCTGTAAAAGAAGAAATGCAAATAAGTCTGCTTAATTGTATTGTATGAAATTGCCAAACTCTTTTGGAGGAACAGACTGTCAGCCCTCAGTTTCTCACAGAGCATCTTTTCAGACTTTGCATCAAAAGAACTATAGTCACAATTTAATGGAACATGGTTTTGGGTACCACAGGCATAAAAAGCATCTCACTCACCAGCACCTGCACAGTTGCACTTAAAATAAGCTAGACAGGCTATTACAATGTCCAGTCACATGTAAAACACCAAGACCTACTGTTGTGTTCTGCAGTAAAACTGTAACACTTGATTAACAGCAAATCAAAACAATCTACAGTACTTCTCTGAGATACTCTGAGAGGTTTTTAAATGTCTGAGCCACAGCTTTTTCAGGTAAGCTATTTATTTATTGCTAGTTAAGTTAAGCTCTAGAATCTGGAGCACAGATTTTGAAGTTACTCCTTGAATTTCTGGAAATGCTGACTAGAATTCTTTTTTTTCATAGTACCTTTTAAACACGTCCATTGGCATGAGCCTAAATAGTAAAAGTGTTACCTTTTCGAGCCACCAGCACACTTGCCACTGTATCTGGTACACTTGTTCCTGCTGCTAGTAATGTGAGACCCATTACTGACTCTGGAATTCCCAGTGTTTCACCTGCAGTTGATAAACAATGATAGAAAATGCAAGTATATTTTTAGTTAGGTTTTATCCAAAGAAAAGTGCTTTGGACTTTGCTGGAGAAAGGATTAGTAGTTATACAGTAATTTCAAATGGAATATGTCAGCTAAGTTGACTGAATATGAAGTGACTGAACCACAAAGTAGTTAAGAATGACAAGAAAGAAATATCATCCTGTTCTTGTTCTTCAGTCAAATAGAAAAGGAATTGTAAAATAGTAACCATCTTAACAAGTTTCTCAAAGACCTGAGTGGAAAGTCTGCAACAGTCAAGACAATGCCAATTACTATTTTTTTTCTTGCAGATAAAGTAGAAGTTTAACTATCTAACAAATTACTACTTTTATTTTCTCTTTTTCCCCTCAACTTTTAGAAAATGTTATAGTCTCTCATATGGTTATGGGCATCTCATCGTTAGTGCTTAAAAGTCTTATGAAGCAATAACTCTTATAATCACCCTCTTTAAAGGGGGAGGGAACAAGCACAGGAATTTTGTTGGGGAGGAGGGTCACTAAGATGGTTTCAAGAATACTGTCTCAACTCATGCCTTTACCATTTCAGCCCAATTAGAAAGTGTTTAGATTTGTGGAAGAATCAAAACACAGAATTTGTATGACTTGTAGGTACAAGTAATCCTTTACAAGTGGGAGTTCCTTTAGGTAAATACTGCTTTAAATGAAGAAAAGTTTTAAACTGTTCCTAAAAGAGCAGCTTATCTTTCCCCACTCTCTATTTTCTTAGCCCCAAATGTCCTGTAACTTAATTTCTCACTTGAAATTCAGATTCAGATCTCAAAACTGTGTAGCGGTTGTACATTCAGAAGTATCAATATGCTAAAGTATCTGATACCTTTATCCAGACTATAAAGTAATTAGTTTTTCTTACTTCTTTTTCCTGTGAACAAAGAAGTTTATTTTGAATTGTTGAAATCTGAATTCTTGCAATATTTGGACACTAATAATAATTTTCTTAAGAGGCAGTACTCTAAGCTAGGTCAGTTGTGCTAGTCCAGTACATACCAGCTTAGTCTAGAGCAGCCCAGTAAATATATGTTTGAAACCAATTGTTGGTTCAGAGGGACTAACATGATCCTGTTGCAGAATTTATATGGTTTATCCTTCCATCACTCCTAAAAGATTTGTAGGACGAGGGGACCAAGAAGATCAGCTTTTATCAACCATCCAGGCTGGAAAATAATAGGTGAAATATGAATGAATAAACCAGCCTTATATACCAACAGTAGTTTCTAGCCCTCTGAAGGTTATAAGACAGAATCTAAACTCAGGAAAATCTAATTTTTCTTTTTATTAGGTAGATTTATCTTCTATTTAATGTGTAGGGATTCAGGTTTGTTTTTTTTCTGGCAACTGACCATAAAGACAGAATAGTCTTATTTTTCTAGCCTTTAGTTAATTTTGTGCATCAGTAGCAATGTCTTGCTATAAGTAGTCAAATTTTCTTTGCTAGCAACAGAAAAGTGTACTGTTAGTTTTGTTCTTGACCATCAAAATGTAGTCCCCAGCTGTGACACCTTTGTGACATTCTGGTAGGCTGATTATGCAATGATAGAACCTTTGACTCAACCTTCATGAAAGAACCCAGACTTGAATATAATGTGTGTGTAACTTTTAGCATTTTAACATGTAAATAGAACATATTTTGCCTAGAAGTAGTGGGCCAGAGACCCCAGTACTGCCTGTGTTGACTTCAAAGTGAACTAACACACTCTTTGAATCTCCACTGTACCTGCTTTCGTATGAATTAATACTTTGTCTGGTAGAACAGCAATAAGTTTTACTTGAATCCTGTTTCAAAGGCTTTTAGCATCCAGGCAGTGAACCTTTGCTCTTGAGATACAAGTGGGAAATTATTTGACCAAGGGGTGAACCTGGTGGGTGTTATATCCAGCAATCTACTAGTAATTTCCCAAAGGTTTATCCAATGCGTAGGTCTGTTTTTGCACTGAACAAGGAGTTATTCATATCTGAACTAGCAGAAAGCTTGAGTAGGATTAGTGAGCTATAATGTGGAAATAGCAAGCTTTGTAAAATTTCTTTCTGGTTTAGAGTTTTTTCTGCTTGTTCTTAAAAACAGGATTTTTTTTCCAAGCTGACTGGAGAAACAGTGACATGAAGAGACCTTTAATACCTTAAGGTACTTTTAGGAGAATGTTTTTTACACACAAATTGATACCCTTTCTCTCACTTAAATGCAATTCCTTTACTGCTTCACTTCATGGTGCAGATTTGTAAGAGGTATACATACAACACCCCAAGAATATATAATTAACACATGATGCTATAGTTGAAATAAAATAGTACACAAATTTTGGAAGTTTTTTGGCACTTAATTTAATGCCAAATCTCTTACTATAGCATTCATGAAAAATACAGGTGTAGAAATCTTTTACAGAACCCCCTGAATCTCTGATTCCAGTCTTTGCAGATTTCCTGTTTGTCAGCCTTCAGCATGACAAGTTTATTGCTCTGTACCTAATTGCTTCATTTAATGAAGCAGTTTAATGAAACTCTTTTTAAATATGGGCTGGGGTTTTTTTTGTAACTGTGTAAACAAATTCCCATTCATGTGATGGTAAGCAGTGTGAAGCAGCTAGATGGACAATTAGATGGAAAAAGCAGTCAAACACGAGTTTATGTTGGGGTATTTGTGTTTTTTTTACAGCAAAGTCTGTGTTGCAAAACTGTTGCTTGTGGAAAGGAAAACTTCACAGAGAGAAAATTCTTTTTTTCAGTGATTCTTGGTTGTTTGATTCTGTATAGCAAGCAGCATTTTAGATACTTACCTGCTATTGTTATCATCCACACAAGAACATAAGTGATGGCAGAAATCCATGCTGCTGAAATTAAAAATGTCACCATGAACCAGTTCCTCCAAAACTGTCTTCTGCAGTCTGGTATAGTCAAATAGAACAGTGTAATAATAGGAAGGGATAACACCCACAAAATTCTCTTCATATCTGCTTCAGGCATGGTGAAGACACTTGAATGATCTGTTGAAGAAGAAATAACTCTTTTAAATTGTAGGATTAGGTCTGAATCCATAGCGTGCAGTGTATTACTGTCCTCTACTTGTGAGAATACTGAAAAAGGTTAAAAATACTTCCTCAAGTTCCAGCTATAGTCTTAACCAGTATCTACACCACCCTGACAAAACTGAAATCAAGTTACTTCTGGGGAGATTCTACTTGTACACAAAAAAACCCATTTTTCATAATGAGAACAATCAGCCACTGAAATAATCTCCCCAGGAAAGCAGTGGGTTCCCCAGTGTTGGACACCTTTTAGGATTCAGCTGGACAAATGCTGGGCCATCTTGTCTAGACCTTGCATTTGCCAGGAAAAGTTGGACCAGATGATTCCTGAGATTCCCCCTCCAACGTGGTATGCTATGATTAAAATGTTCTTTATTACCACGTCACTAGGAGTGAACTAAGGTGGATGAAAAATGGACTTTATTCTATAAAGGATTCCCAAGAGTACCAACTGCTGGGGTTTTTTTGCCTGAGAGGAAACATGACCTGTGGCCACACCATAGCTATTCCTTTACTTCTTTTGGGCTGTGAAGGTCATGGTCATAAGAGAACAGTATATATTAGTGCAGTTCCAGTGTGGCTTTCAGGGGATGGTGCATTTTACAAGCAGTGTTGCTGGGAAGTGTCACTTCTGCACAGCGAAGTCTGATTGAAATCTGCTGTTCTGACACAACACAAATAAGCACCTATCCTTGTATTCCTCTAGCAACTAACTTCATGTGAATACCACCACTCTGATTTTGTTTAACGTTATATTCCGGGTTAGGATAATGGTTTACTTAAATACTATGCTGGAGTTCTTTTGTGAACAAAATCTTGGTACTATCTCAGACTCTGCTCTTGATTAGAACTGATGTAGGCAGGCATGCAGCGTGCTAGAGACAGCTGGAATAATACTTGTACCTCCAGAGATTTCATCAAGCCCGTGTAAGCTTGTTGAAAGGTGGGAGTAATCCAGCTCATCTTGAAAAATTCCGCTGTCTGTCCTTGACTGTTGACGAATTAGAGGTCCACTCTCTTCCCTCCATCCAACCAGTGGCTGCTGCTCCTCATTCTCTTCCATAGCTTTTGTAAAACATGTACAGCAGGGACTGAACTTTTTCATCAGGTATTGGTTGATTTTAATGTCAAAACATAGTACCAGAACATAACACCCATATATCAGTAATAAAGATGCACTTTCATACCTAGAATGAAAAACAGGTTTTATATAACATGTAATATAAAAGAACACAACTCTAACTTACTGGAATGGCTGTCAATAAGGAGAGAGAGGAAAATTTGCATGAGTAGCAAAAAGGAAAACACACAAAAGCATCTATTGCAGTTGTATGGCTGATGTCATGGACGTTTGTGAGTGTCCCCATGTCTTTCAGCAGTTTGATTAATTCCCCTCCCCTGCAGAATCTTGTTTGTGTATTGTATAGCTGCATGTTTTCCAGGGGATCTTACTGACTGAACATCTGATGTTTGCAAAATTGAGTCTTCATGTGATGGTTAAATTAGAAACTTCAAGAGACTTAGTGCTGGACCTGACTGTCTTGCTGAGGTCACAGGAGTTTTGGTGTTAGTGGAAGAGGGTTAAAACATCAGAAACTCATGATCTCCTCTGGCAGACAAATGTTTTTAACAATGCTGCTATCCAAGGAAAGGCTCAAAAGGAGTAAGTGATGAACACTAATTGCTGTGATAGAAATGGTGAAGTCTGTACAGACAAACCTATGCAGATCAAACTTAATAAATATGCAGAGTTTGAATGTTTAGGTAACCATCTTTACAGGCATTGTGACTATCTGAGTTTTTTAGAGCTAACAGGATGTTTTTCTGTTAGCGAATGGCAGTTCAGGCTACTTGAAGTTTGGGGGGTTTGTGTTTGTTTTTCAAAACACTGTTTCACTAGTCTCCAGTCAACATGAATTCAACACTACTTGTGCTCTTACCAGTAAATTCTGTTGTCAGATATCATCGCAAGGACTGCTGCTGCACTGACTGTGTATGCCAGACAGTCTCTGAACAGTGGCCAACAGGATAGCCTCGAAACCTGCAGATCAGAGTCATTTACTTTTCTTAAACCTCTCTGTAATACTTTCACAAAGTGCTGTAAATGCTGCATCAATATGT